TTTTTTTTAAGATTTTATTTATTTATTTGAGAGAGAGAGCACGAGCAGGGGGAGGGGCAGAGGGGGAAGCAGACTCCCCACCAAGCAGGGAGCCCTTTGCAGAACTCCATCCCAGAATCCTGGGATCATGACCTGAGCCAAAGGCAGCTGCTTAACTGACTGAGCCACCCGGGTTCCTTATACTTTGTGTCCTTGACAGCTTTGTCTGACCCAAGGTCTCAAAGACTTTCTCCAACGTTTTCTTCCAGAAGTTTTAGAGTTAGACTTTATATTTATGTCTGAAATCTACCTGTAACTCATTTTTACACGTGGTTCAAGATGAGGTTCATTTTTCTCCCCATATGGATATCCAGTTTGATCCAACACCATTTGCTTTCTTCTTTGTCCCCTGTTTGATTCAGAAATGTGTTTAATCTCCAGACACTACGGGAGTGATGTTAGTTATTTTGTTACATATTTCTATCTTAACTCCACTATTTTCAGAGAACATATTTTGTATGATTTAAATCATTGAAAATGTTCTGAGACTTGGTCTGCAGCATGGTGTACACTCTGTCCCGATGAATGTTCCATATGCACCAGAAAGAATATAACTTCCTCCATCGCTGGGTTTCATGTCCTATGAATAATCAAGCTGGCTCATAAGATTTTCATAAAACTTCCCTTACCTCAGGGATCACAGCCTTGCACATGTGAAAACAGTTTCCTACGTTTTGTCCAATTTTGCTTTTTAAAATCATACATAGGTGTGAATCTTCAGAGACAAAGATTTTGCATTGATTGTGATCATTATTTTTATGCTTTAATTTATTAACACGGTGAATTATTTTGATATTTCTTTCTGATATTAAATAGCCTTTCCCTTCTGAGATAAAACTTACTTACTCTTGATATGTTTATTTTTAAAACAATGTTGGGTTCAATTAACATATTTTAAGGACTTTTGAAACTACTTTTGTAAGTGAAATTGGCCTATATTCATCTTTTCCTTATTCCTGTTCTTTATTTCTTTATCTCTCCTTATTATTCTTAACTGGTACAGAGCAAGGCCGCATTGACCTGAGAATTTCTGGTGGATGGCTTTGAAAGGGATCAGCAGAAACTGGGGATAGATGGGTGAAATGCATTGTCTTGATGGTGGAGAGGATTTCATGAATGTGTCAATATACACATAACAAAATTTATTGAGATTGCACACTTTAAATACGGAGTTTATTGTATATCAACTATATGTCCATAAAATTGCTAAAAATGCATGGTGGAGTTCAGTTCAGGGTCTCATGCCCTTGTGACAAGCCATCAACAGGAATGCCGTCAGCTAAGGCTGAACTGAGCCCAGACAATCTATCCACTTCCCAAGATGGCTCACTCACAAAGTTCTTGGCTAGAGGCCTCAGTTCCTCACTCACTTTAGACCTGAGGTCCTTGCCAAGAAGGCCTTGCCATAGGGATGGTCAAAATGCTTTTCCCTGGAGCAAGTGATCCAAAAGAGGGAAAGTGTCCAAGACAGAAGGCACAGAGACTTATAAGCTCAGAAGAGACATCCCATGGCATTTTCTAGACTCTACGAGCTACCCAGACCAAGTCAGGCGCCATGTTGGATGGAAGTGCACCTCGCCTATACAGTAATATTCATCTCTCTTTTTTTTAGACAATTGTTTTCTCTTTTTTTAAGATTTTTTTAATTACTTATTTTTATTAACATATAATGTATTATTTGCCCCAGGCATACAGGTCTGTGAATCGTCAGGCTCACACACTTCACAGCACTCACCATAGCACATACCCTCCCCAATGTCCACCACCCAACCACCCTCTCCATACCTCCCTCCCCTCATTTTTAAAAGATTTTATTTATTTGACAGAGAGAGAGATCACAAGCAGGCAGAGAGAGAGGAGAAACAGGCTTCTTGCTGAGCAGAGAGCCCGACATGAGGTTTGATTCCAGGACCCCAAGATCATGACCTGAGTCAAAGCCCACTTCGAGTAAGCTCAACCCACTGAGCCACCCAGGTGCCCCTAATATTTATCTCCTTATTGCTCCGAGAAGAGTCTGCATTTCCCCCTGCAGATAAGCACATGGCTCACTCCCTCACCTCCTCCAGAAAGACCTTCACTCACAGGTCATTAAAACTAACCCGCCCCACCCAAATTCCTTATCCCCATCCCTAATTTTTTTCTCTGTAGAGTACTTAGCACTCCATAATGTACTATGTACTTTAACACTTTTGGTTTATGTATAGGTATGTCTTCACTAAATGACATCCATGAGAGCAATGATTTTTTTTTATTATTAGTGGACTATTTTTAGAGCAGGTTTAGTCTCAGCAAAACTGAGCATAAGGTACGGAGATTTCCCTTATACTCTCCTCCCACCACACACACACACACACACACACACACATAAACACACAGAATCTAAGAGTGGACACACAAGGGATCCTTATTCAAATAACCCTTTCCTGGGGCACTTGGCTGGTTCAGTCAGCAGAGCGTGTGACTCTTGATCTCAGGGTTGGAAGTTCAAAACCTGGGTTGGGTATAGAAATTACTGAAAATCTTTTAAATTGATTAAATAAATACATACTAAATAAATACACACTAAATAAATACGTACATAACTCTTTTCTGTGCTGAATAGTTGGAAGAACAACAAAATGAGGCCTAGGAACCTGGCAGGAAAGTCACCCAGGCCGTGTCTAGGTATCTGGGAATCTTCCATTTCTTGACAGGCACGCTTGTTGACCTCTATGGAGAGGGATGGGGGTTCGGGTTTTTGAGGATGGAACTGTCTTAGCACCTCATCTGTGCCTTTCTCTCCTTCCCAGGAAAGCACCAGAAGCATTCACAAAGGAAACGGACCATGTTCACTGAGAAACAACTGGCCGATTTGGAATCTTTGTTCAGCAAGAACCCATACCCCGCTCCCAGCCTTCAGAAAGAAATGGCTTCGAAACTGGAGATCCATCCCACCGTACTGCAGGTTGGAAGCTACCTCCCCAAAAGACGCTACACTCAGAGACCCTGGGACAATTCCTGAAGCTTCATACTACTCCAATCCCCCAGACTCCAAAGACCCAGACTCCTACCCTAAAACCCTCTCCCCAACCCATGAAGCCAGGATAGGCAAACTTGTCCTGTAAAGAGCCAGGCAGTAAACATTTTAGTGGGCCATATGTATGGTCTCTGCCAAAATTATTCAGCTTTTCAGGGATAATGTGATAGGAGCCATCAACGATATCTAAAGAAACAGGTGTGCCTGCTACATCCCTATAAAATTTTATGGACACACATTTGAAGTTCATATAACTTTCACATGTCACAAATATTCTGTGTATTTTTTTTCTTCAACCATTTAAAAATGTAAAACCTGTCCTTTGGGGCGTCTGGCTGTCTCCATTGGAAGAGCGGGTGACTCTTGATCTCAGGGTCATTGAGTTCAAGCCCCATTGGGTAAGTGTAGACATTACTTTAATAAATAAAAACTTTAGAAAAAAATAAAAAAACAAAAAAACCCTGTTCTTAGTTCACGGGCCATACAAAATCACAGTCGCAGATCCAGTTTGGCCATGAGCTAAGTGTGCTGACATTAGTCTCTCCTGTTGTGGGGGTTCTGATCCCTGCCTCACTTTCTGTCCCCATCGCCTCCCATTTCCACTCCCTCCTGCACATAGGCTGAGAGAGTTTCCAGCAATAGGATCTAAGAGGCAGAGAAGTGGAACGAACTGTTCTCACCGAGCAGTATCCATGGTATCAGGTAAAATGAAAACATCTGGAAGCTCATTTGGATTTATCCACCTACTACTGCTCTCTTTTCTCTGCAGGTGTGGTTCAAGAACCACAGAGCAAAACTCAAGAAAGCCAAACAGCAATTAGCTGGAGCAGAAGTCAAGACCAGCTCTTCCGAGGGACCCATGGATGCCCCTCCAGGATCCTCCCATGGTGCCCACCAAGCCTCCCTGGTTTATACAGACCACCCAACACCTTCCTTCCAACTCAGCATATGCTCCAATCTGAAGGTTCTCCCAGACCATTCTGTTGGCCACAAAATCGTCCACTTTGGCTGTTGCCGAGACCCTAATGTCTACTCCCTTCGTCCCATTATGGAATCTCAAATTCTTCCCACAAGCTACACTGCTTATTCTCTAGGTTCTTCATCTCCACAAAGAACTTAATGAGCAAAGCCAGACGCAAAAGGTCACATACCGTAATGATTCACGACAATTCCCGATGAGAGATCCGAGATCCACGCAACATGGATGCATTCCAGAAACACACTCCATGAAACAAAAGAAAGACACGCAAGCGCCCGTTGGGTAGAACTGAGTGGAGCGAGGCACTCAACAAACTTACAGCGACGGGAATGTTTTGTAGTGTAATTAGGATGACAGGAACCTGCACTAAATTCACCCAAAGACACAGAATGGCAATACTGTATTACATACACCACAAAAAGCAATCATGGGATGAAGGCACCAGCCATGGAGGTAATCATTTTGCAATCTATAAATGTATCAAATCAATGCACTGTACACTTTATACTTGTATCTCAGTAAAGCTGGAGACAATGTTTAAATTCTATCTCAATAAACATATACAATGAGACTATTAGGGACAGGTGTTTATCCTGCTTCTTTGTCTTGATTTTGCTTTTTCTTTACCATTATTCAGCTAAAAAGACTTAGTCAATGTCAGTAAGTGGGCAGTTGGCTTATTCTTCTACTTTCTAGTTGTTTTTTTTTTCTTGGTCACCTCCTCAGCCATCATGTTATGTCCTGATCACCCAAATATCTCCATTCCCCCAATCCTCCCAGTTTCCTTTTTTTTCCCCCAGCTTCTCCCTCTATTCTCTTTCCTTTTTTTTTTTTTCTTTTTGTGAGATTTCATTTGTCAGAAAGAGAGTACAGTGTGTGTTCTCCTCCTGGGGCAGGTGTGGCTTTAGGAGGATTACAGTTTCTCTCTCTCTCTCTGTTGTCTTCCCCGCCAGAGACAACTATTCCAGCACGCATCGTCCTGGTGTCTCAGCCTGTGGCATGTTCCTCCAAAGTAAGCTCTCCTAAACCCTCTATGGCACCCACCCCTACCCCAGAAGGAACCATGGGTTTGACTTTTGCCCATTCCGAAATTCCACATGATTGACTCATTCTGCAGGAACCCTGTGTGGCTGCCATCACTTATGTGTAATGAGGGAAACCCTTGACCTATTGTGGACAGTACGGGGTTATCTCAAGGACTCCTGGTCTAACACAGTGGTTCCCAACCAGGGGTGGGGTGACATCTGGCACTTCAGGCGACATGTGGGTTGTTGGGCTGGAGGAAGGAGTGGTACCCACTAGCATGTATCCAAAAGGATTGTGCACATCTCACAATTCAAGGTCAGGCCCTGCACCAGTTACCCTGCCCAAAGGGTCGAGAGTACCAGCCAGGCTCAGAAGGTCAGGTATGGCCTGAGACTGACAGGCAAGTGGGCAGGAGCCAGAACAGGTCTGCGAACTCTGACCCATAACCACTACAGGCATCAACCCAAAAGGGCCCCAAGCAGCCAGGACCAGGGCTGTGATGAAGAGGTTCCCTAATGGTCACCCCACCCTCACTTTCACCCTAGGACCAATCAGTAAAGCCAAACATGTCCCCCTCACCAATCACGTAGGGTGCCCCCAATTACTTAGATGATTGGGGTGTTAAATAATTCTGCCCCTCCTCCCACAATCAGCAGAGAGCTGCTTCTGCTTGTGCGACATTTCTCATTAGTTATCACAAAATAATGGTAGCTGATGGAGAAATAGATTCCATACAGAACTACAGGTTTAAAAAACTTAATTCTTCCTTTTTTTTTTATTTTATTTGTTTGAGACACAGAGCACAAGCTGAGGAGAGAGGCAGAGGGAAAGAGAGAAGCAGGCTCCCCACTGAGCAGGGAGCCTGATGCAGGGCTGGATCCCGGGACCTGGAGATCGTGCCCTGAGATGGGGGCAGACGCTCAACCAACTGAGCCACCCAGGCGCCCCGAAAGCTTAATTCTTTCTTGGTCAGAATGAAGAACTCTACATCCTTGTTGATTCCAATAATGAAAAACAAGTTCAATTATTCTTTTTCTGGTTAATTTCTTTTTTTCAGTTTCATCTGGAACCCATGGTTGGATGTTCTCGGAGGGCAGGTGTGCACTGATTGCCTGGGACCTCACACCAGGGTGTGAGTTGACCGTGAGCAGAGCTCTCTCCCGTGTCCCGCCCTAGCCCAGTTTTGGGAACAGAGCATGCCACTAAGTAGGTTTTCAAAATGTTTTTGGAAGGAAGCAAAAGGGAGGAGAGGAAGATGGGTTGATACAACGAGTGGCTTCGTAGTGCCTTCCGGTCAGAGTCCTTCCTTGTATCTAGGCCCCTCCCACCACCTGCCAGCCCTGAAAGGCACAAACCTGCCGACCTGATGAGGAACACCTGAGCGGCTTTCAAAGCCCAGACCGCAGGACTGGAAGCTGTGGTCCCCAGAAGTGTGTGCCAGTCTGCCCGGGATTGTATTTAAATGAGGGTCCAAAGTCAAGAGACATACCCAAGCCTGACTGGTCCAGAGAGATGCCCGTCCTGAGAAGACTCAGACATCCCTGGAGGAAGTCCCCACGGTGAGCCAGAGGGTGGCTAGGGCTGGAGCCCACCAGGTGGGTTCGGGGCTGGGACTCCTGCCCCAGTGCCGGATGCCTCTCACAGCCCTGAGGCTAGGAACACTTGGAGACCCCAAAGCTACGCCAAAGCTGGTCTTACATCCTGTCTTCTAACAATGAGTGGAGGAGACCCATCTCCACTGTGGGGAATCACTTACCCTCTTGTAGGCATTTGCATAAAACATGCTCAGATGTCCTCTCCCTCACCCCAGAGAGAGCCACTGACCACCTCCACTCACTGCTTGCTTTGCCTGTGGCTGAACTTGAAAAAGACTGAAACACAACATTTAGGAACTCGTGTGTGTGTGTGTGTGTGTGTGTGTGTGTGTGTGTGTTCTTTCCCTCACCATCTCACCGGTGAGACTCATGTTAGAGAGACTACAGTATTCAGAGTTTTTTAAAAACGTCCTTGGTAGGGGCACCGGTCTGTCTCAGTAGAGAATGGGACTTTTGATCTCAGGGTCGTGAGTCTGAGCCCCACGCTAGGTGTAGAGTTTACTTTAAAAAAAAAATCAAGGGGCGCCTGGGTGGCTCAGTGGGTTAAAGCCCCTGCCTTTGGCTCGGGTCATGATCCCAGGGTCCTGGGATTGAGCCCCACGTCAGGCTCTCTGCTTGTCAGGGAGCCTGCTTCCCCCTCTCTTTCTGCCTGCCTCTCTGCCTACTTGTGATCTCTGTCTGTCAAGTAAATAAATAAAATCGTTAAAAAAATAAAAAATAAAACAAAATTTTAAAAATCAAAATCTTAATAAAAGTTTAAAAAAGCCCTTGGTAAACGTAATACCGGGTGATTTTCACATTTCTGTGATGGTTCTCAAAGCAACTTCTTAAAGCTGGTGTGGATTTGGAGGGTTTGGTTTTTGTTTTGGTGCAAAAAGGTGGTTTTATTAAAGCACAGGGATAGGACCCGTGGGTGGGAAGAACAGCCAAAGCTGGTTGTTTAAATACACACGCAGGTAATGTTTTGTCGGAGCTTACAAATGCATGGAAACAAATTGAGTCATTCCTTCCACAATTACTAGACAGACAGCTTCTGCTTGTAAGAACTTTTCCTCGCCCATTATCCCTAACACAGCAGTAGTAACTATTGAGGCCCTCGAATTCACACAGGAAATAGGTCTGTCACAAAGTAACCTTTCAGGACACTTGGGTGGCTCAGTCGTTAAGCGTCTGCTTTCAGTTCAGGTCCTGATCTCAGGGTCCTGGGATCGACCTGCTCCACGGGAAGCCTGCTTCTCCCTCTCCCACTCCCCCTGCTTGTGTTCCCTCTCTCGCTGTCTCTCTGTGTCAAATAAATGAATAAAGTCTTTTAAAAAAACACACATGTAAGCTTTCAAGAAATATTCTAGAAAGGAAGGAAAGAATGGTTTCCTGGCATCCTCAGAATGACAGCGTGTTTTGTTTTGTTTGCATCAAATCCTGCTCCGTCCCTTTCTACCACCTCCTAATGCCGTCTTCCCAAAACTTCCTGATGATGAGAATCACATGGAGAGCTTCTGAAGCCAGATTCTGGGACATCTCTCCTGCAAGGGGCGCTCCAAGTATGTGTTACATATGTGAGCGAGCGTGTGTCTGCCTGCGTAGACACACCCAGGTGCCAGGAACTCTCAGAAGCTCTTGTTCAAACACAGGCCGCCCATGTTTTCACTTAGCTTCACAAGTGACCAAGCTCTGTCCAGGTTGTTCCTGCTGCCCCACATTCTCTTCTCATGGACCGTCCCCTCCTCTCTGTCCTTTTCAGTAGAAATAGTGGCTCCTCGGGGAGCTTCCTTAGCGTTCCCTGTGGATTGCCCTATTTCCAGACTCTCCTCACCTCCCTGATCGCACCTGCAGAAGGACCGTTGGAATTCGGGCAGGCCGGGACAAGGGGCCCCACCCTAAGAGGCGACGGCCCTTAAAAGGATTTTACATCAGCTTGGATGGAGCCCTCCACCCTTTCCTGCAAGATAGATAGATGACAAAAATCTGATTGGATGACAGGCACAGAGCGAGTTAATCAGATTAAAACAGCCACCGACAGGTGGATAAACCCTAGACTTCAGAAACTCAGGTGGTAACCCCTTCGGGTGCACTCCCGCCCTGGGAGGTTTGTAAGATCGGTTTGCTGCCGTGCAATAAACCTTGCTTTGCTGCGTACCACTGTCTGGCTGTGTGGTCTGCCCCCGTGACCGAGAAGATCCTGAAACAGTTGCTGTGGATGAACGGTGTTTATCGGGTCGGCTGGAGAGGGGAAATTCGCAGAGCAAGTCATCAGGGCGAGCAGGACTGGGAAGGATTAAGGGTGGGGAGAAGTCTGGGCAGGAGGGGGCCATGAACCGGGGGCCGGCGGGCTCAGTGTGCCTGTGTCTGAGTCCAGCACCCCTCATGTAGGGCTTAAGCCCTCTTCACCTGACTTTTCTCACCTGGTTAATAGGAATAATGATCCCCACTGGAGGACCGACGTGGACCAGCTTACTCTGGGCTGACAGCAGGACAGTGTGCAGGACTGTTGAGCAGCCCCTGTGAACACCCCCACACTAA